TGCTATCCTCCGATTGGCATTCCACGATCCATATTGACTCCAAAACACTCTTTAGCTTCCTCCTAGCTCGGAATGGCTCCTGCAAAACGTAAAACTCTTAATTAGAGCATTTTGTTATCTTTTACATTCAAACATTGATAAAGTGCAGCCAAATTAGAGTGTAAATAGTGTCTAAATTAAATGCATAATTATCGTCTACTATCAACACCCCACGCTTAAACCTTTGCTCATCCTCGAGCAATCAAACCACACTCTACAGAGGCCTAACTTCCCCGAGCGACTTCTCTAAATCGTCACACCAAGAATATTCCTCATAGTTTATGTACATTAGTGTAACATCCACACCTCAAGAGTTGACTCCCGAGCCACGCAATATTCCTAACCGGCTTACTTACCCTAACTCAGAGGTCCAAACTTACCTCTCCTCCATGAATCAAGTTCCTGCTCACAACAAAAGAGACTCCTTCACAGTCAATAACATGCACACACACTGAGGAACTTCAATATAAATAGAATTCACTCACCCTCAGAAATGACATTCATATGCCAAAAAAGATGCACCATAGGCTTGCCCGTAGTGTACTACTCTATTAATCGAGCTCATTCAGTCTAGGATCAATTAGGGCTTTATTTGGTTGTAATGTAGGCTGCGGGATGGGTAGGATACATTTAGATATATGAGTGGCTACACTTCCCTAAGCACATTAATACATGTACGTTAGCATTCAAAACCCCACACTTATGTCAAACCATGACTCCACCTTCACATCACTATATTTAACTCCCTTCTTCTTTAAGCACAATTACATCAAGAGCCACCACTTATTAAGGAATATTTTTCACAACAACACAACTATATATTTTCTTTTTCAAGTGGCTCTTATTTTTTTTTAAAAACAGTGCACCTTTCTTCTTATCTCATTAGTTCCACTCAAAAGCCAAACCAACCATCCCACACTTTAACTTTTACAAAGTTCATACAATTCAAGCGCTCATGAGAGGTGAAAAGGTTCGAAAAGATGGTTAATTCAAACAAATGGGTAAGGCTAGTAGTGTGGTTGCCAAAGAAACAGGATTACAGGCTCAACGGGGTTAACTATGATAAATAACAAATGGGTGGATGAAGTATATATATGGTTTAACAAAGAAATGCCTATATCACTTCCCAGACTAAACAAGACTACTATTTCGCTTTGCAGACACACAGGCCAAGTTCTAGGCATCAAATGTCGTGCACAGAATACAACAAGCCTCACACACACATGGCACATGACTCACTCCAGATTGGGTCATCAAACACTCTATTGAAGGTACTTAGCCAAATTAAGAACATACATTTTAAGGCATTCTTACAAGAGTCGACAACTAAGCCTAAGCGTAGCACTAAAGTACCCGCTATATTCAAGGCATTACAACGTTAAGAGATCCTATTTCATTTTTCGCCCATAGCCCACAAGTTCCTACTGACAATAAAAAAAACTAACTAGCCCGGTTCAAATAAAACCCTTGGAAAAGAACCGTGGCTTAAAGAAAAACCAAGGGGGAAATGATACACTACTACAAAGGAAAATCTTTTCGTGTTTTTTTTCGTCGACTTTAGTCCCTCAAGAAACCCGTCGAATGATATCCATCATCGGGACAAGTCGAAAATGATTTATGTAAATAAACTACAAAACTATGCTACATACAACATACCACAAAGCATCCCCCACCCCACACTTAAAATGATGGCATGTCCCCATGTCATACAAAATAGAGTAAAGCGAGGGGAAGGAACTTCCCTGGAAGATCAGTACTGATCGGAGACAGTGCCGGGGTCGAGATGACACGCCCTCCCCAGCACACGCAGCCAGCCCATGATTTTCTTCTCTAACTTCGCATTTTGGGTGGCCAAGGCATCAACTCTCGTCCCCAAATTCATGACGGAAGTGAGCAGCCCTGCCATTTCCTATTCTAAGGCTGTCAGCCGCATACTCCGTCTGACTGCAGATGAACCTCCAACCGCGGCTACTTGATCTCGTGGGGGTGAGGATGGCCCAACTTGTTCCTGTGGGGTTGAAGAAGGCCCAACTTCCTCCTTCTCTTCATCGCTCTCCTCTGACGCCTCAGAATTATCACTATCAGTTGAACTGGGTGCCACCGTGTCTTTCCCAACGGTCACTTTGGATGCCCGGAACATTGTTTCTTTCTTCACCTTGCCATCCATATTGGGGTTCTTTGACACCCCTACAGCCTAACACAATCTAGTGACCAGAGATGGGAAGAAGAACCCATACCTCCTCAGTGTTGAACGGATGAACATCTAAGAGTGAATAGCCTTGGCCACATCAAAATCGTGGCTATTCACGAAGCACCAGATCAAAGCAGCTCTCGGTCCATTGACCTCAGTGGTGTTGTGGGACGGCAGCAGTCGACTATTGATGATGTACAACCAACACTTTCCTTCAAAGGTGAGTGAGGCGGAGTGCAACTTCGATCATGGTACAACCCACACTACCTCCTTGTCTGGTTTACAGATAGTTTGGAAAAAAAATTGCCAATTTGTGGGTTTTCGCTTGTAAATATCATATTAATCCACCTCCCCAGTAAATGCAGGCAAGTGATACACTCTCCTGATGGCTTCAATCGAGGCATTCACCCTCTTTTGTCGCACAATGCAATTGTGATCCTCATGTTCAGAACAGTTGGCGTAGAATTCCCTAACAAGCAACAAGTTACCGTCCTCCAGCTCTTCGAAGAAGATGTCTAGCCTGCGCCTGATCAGCTCCCTATACATATTGGGGCACTCAGCCTGGAGGGAACCCCTATCAACTCCCCTTCCTGATATAGGCTTTCTAATAGCCTTCCAACTGAAACGGTCTTGGGCAACTCTGGAGACAAACCTGGTGCTATCAAACTGCGCTGAACTAGCTGATATCCGTGCCCGGGACGAGCCACCGATAGTGCGCCTCTTTTTTGAAGATCTCATTATACCTACACAACAACCACCATTATCAATAATCAGCGGAATAGGTGAACCAAGGACTGTTACTCAGACTTCACTCGCACCCTTGGTCACAATTTATACTAAAAAGCTCATTATGGCAATTCAACAAACACCTACCGTGCATATGCCCCCCAATGTACCTAAAGACCCAATTAAACTCCCATTCTTCACAATTCAACAATGTTTTCCCAACCCAACCAACCCAATGTCCTCACATACCAACATATATACCAACAAATACAACAAAGATAAGAGTACCCATATTTCTACTTTCCTACACTTACAATAGAAGAGAAAAAGAATGAAAAAAAAATCGAAAAACAAAACAAAAAAAACTAAAAGAAGAAAGTAGAAGCATGTACTTACTTGAGAATCTTGTGAGGAATGGAGCTTGAGTAGTGGGTGAGTAGAGAACAGGGAGAAGGAAAGGAGATTTGGTGAAGATGGGGGGGGGGGGGAA